TTAATTAGTTGGCTTGCTTTCTTTATTTTGCTGGTAAACCTAGTTTTGCATTTTAACTTGTTACAGAGACAGAAACATTTATTTTCTAAATACCGTGTAATTCTATATGAAAAATGTTAAGCGATTTGTTTAACTTGCAGATTTCCAGTTTAACCTAAAATATTAACATACAGGTGTTTGCACTAGGGTGACATTTCACAGTATGTTTTTCTCTCTCTCCTTTCTCCCTGGCTCCTTGGTTGTATGTTTGTCCCTGCTTTCAGCCTAGTTACTGTGTGACCATGAGGCGAGTAGAATGATCTCGCTGGTCCAACAGAAGACTACATTTAGGAGTGGGGAGTTGTTTTGAGGTTTGGGAGGGAGGTGTGGTTGGGTTTTATTTGATTTTTTCTTCTTTGTTTTTAAAGATGGCAAGCAGCAGTTTTCAGTTAGCATGTAGATGTTGCTTGCTGCAAAGTTGCATAAATGGTATATGGCTATACTTGAGGCAAATGAAAGTGAAACTAACTGACTGGAGCTGAAACATGAGCAGGACCATGTTTTGATGGGCGTCTGCAGGCTGATATTGTTTAGCATAAAGGAAAACAGCACCTTCTTTCAACATTTTCTTAACTCTGTAATACAATTTTGGCAGTAAGATGGCAGTAACAGTTTTAGCAAGAGTAAAACTGAAGTTTTCTTCCTTAAACTGAAACTCATTTTTCCTGCCATCTGTAAGAGTAGTGTTTCCAGAAGAACTGCTACAGGTGGTCAACTTATATACTGCATTATTGCAATCAAAAAAAATTAGGTGAATCCTCGGGCACTGATCTTTTGGGAGTCAGAGCTGTTAGCATAAATCTGCCCTTAACCTTTACCTCTGGCTTATTCTATGCCTAAACGTAAGACCTGCATTTTCTTCCCTCTTGCTTTTGCTTTCCTCACCTCACCCAGGAAAAAATGAGGAAGGAGGAAGAAGGGCAAGGTGTAATAGAGTGGTACAGACGGTTTAATATATATTTTGTGTTTGCTATTGTATGTAGCAAAAAACCCCTCCAAAACAAACCAACATAATTTTATGCGTGAGTCACTGTCTGAATTTGTGTTCTTTAAAAATGGCTATACACAGCTACTATGTATAGCTATATAAACCAGACTTTCACCAGTAATGAAAACCAAATGACTTTCTGAAGAGTTTGTAGAATCTAGAAGTAGTATCTTAAATTTGAGCATATTTAACTTTGTAAGAATATTTTCAAACAACAAAATTATAAATCCAGAGCTAAAGAAAATTGTATTTGCTTAAAAGTGATGTTGTCTGATATCTGTTGACTTTGTGGTAAACTTTAGAAAGAAAGTGTAGTATTTCTCCCAAAGGATTTTCACTAGCTTGTGGGATGAGAGAACTGTAATAGTGTGGGAACATGATTCATTGTCTTTTTTTCCTCATAATCATCAAATAACGCAAGCACCCAGAAGGTTTAACGCTTTTATTCTCCTCTCTTGACCTGTCTTTGAAGAATAAGATCCTTAGTTAAGGTGCTGATGTGTTAAAAGTATGACGGGATCCTTAAAAGTTGTGACTTGAGAGGTACTGCTTTTCCTTTAGCTGGCTGAGCGAGCATATGTTCATCCTGGGATGCTGCTGTAAGTGGCTTTGCTTGTTCTTTGAAACTTCCATACTTGGCTGTAGGAGTTTATTTTTTGGGTGTCTTATTTTTATATTGGGTTAATGTAGGTATTTGAGTTTCAAGCCATGTTCTGATAGAACATATTTGTTGCCTTAGAGAGAGGAGGATGTTCACTTGCATTGCCTTCGCATCCTGTACTGTGATAAACTCACATCACTGACTTTGGGACTGTCTGAGAGGAAATTCCACAAATACAGTTTTGGACATGATCAGTCTGCAGAAAGCAAGTCAGGATCTATTGGCTTCAGGCTGGAGTCTGGAATGGTACCATTCCCTTTTGATAAAGTGTTGTATCAGCTGCTTGGCCCTGGGGAGTCATCCAGTACTTCAGCTGTCTCTTAGCAAGTCAGCCTACTGCCGGTATTAACTGAACTGAATACCAGTGTTTATTATTGTCTTTTTAATCAAGAAGTGCAGTCTTTTCCATCTATTCTTGAGTGAGGCTAATCAGTGTATTTCTCTCACAGAGGATGTATTTGTTTAGCTTTTCCTTTTAAGGTACTTTCATGGAGTTCAGCTCCTTCTTTTTGTATTACCACATGTAATTTGCATTGTGGCTGAATTGCAGCTTTTTTTGCGAAGATATGATTAATCTCAAATTGAACGACTAATCTTAATTTTTAATGTTCCCTATCTCTGCCTTATGAAATTATACAAGACAGTGCTTTGTACCCACTCATCTGAATTGTAACTGAGGCTAGAAATTATGCAGTGTGAAAAAAACATTTTCTCTGCTTTGTTTTGGATACTGGGAGGAGAAGATAATATCAGAAAGTGTCTTTGAAGATTCTTGCTCCACCACAAACCTTAAAGAATTGAGCACATGCAGAAAATACTATCAGATTTTTTTTTTTCACCATACTGTTCTGGAATACCTTTACAAAGGAAAAAAAAGTGTGCATCAGTAGAACAGGGACAATTTGGAAAAAAATAAAGTAAATCTAGGAGCTGAAAAGTTCCAGCCTTTTATAAATCAACAGATTTTTCTTTTGAAGGAGCCCTCCCATCAGGGTAAAGGGAGATCTGGTCGAGGTAAGGAATCCTAAGTCAGGGCCTACACATGGCATTTTCTGTGTGTTCCTGTTTAGTTTGATACTTTGCAACAAGCAGTTTTATTCTGAACTGGTTTAGCTTTATGGAGTCAATTAATTTGTGTTTTTGAAAGATAATCTAGGACTTGAATCCCTTTGGAATCTTTTTGATAGTATTGGGAATAGGAACTGAGGGAGTGAAGAAGTTAATATTTGAGCAGATCTAAACCTAATAAGCAGTAAGTATGTATCAGAACCTCCATTTCAGCAGCAGTGTGTGCTGTTGCTGTTACTACTAGTACAAAGCAGTAATAGCAGATAATACTTTGTGTTGTTGGAACCTATTGATGAAAAAAAAATTTGTACGATACGGTGTAAGATTATCTTACATTTAATAACGCTTACGGATAAGGAATGAGGAAAGCTTGGCTAAATATCATAAACAAACTTTGCTTGTGTGTTTACACATTGTCCCTGATTATAGGAAAACCTTTTCTCTATCCAAGCCTTTAATTTTTGAATTTGTTGTAATTATAGCAGGATGAGTAATGTTTTGGTTGGTTGTCAGAGCTCTTTCTTCTTGGTTCATTGAACATGATGATCAAAAGAATTTTTATCTTTCAGGTAAGTAACTTGATGATGGTGAATTATCAAGTTTTCTGCTAAACGTCTTGATATAAATGTATGTTCTCAGGAGATCTTATTTTCTGGTAAAGATATTGTGATCTTATCGGTAACCTTTTACAGACTGTGTAAACACTTTTCTGTCATTAGTGATGTAGCATAATGTACGAACTGCTGATTTTTGTTTCCTTTTACCTCTGTCACATTCTTTGCAAATCAGCATGTAACTTGCTCTTGAAGGCAGCTACTTAAGTTGACTTTTTGACATTGGTAGTTACTTTCAGTTGCAGGATTCCAAAAGAAGATTTTTATAATACGTTGTTCTGGTGTATTTTGTTGCTTTCTCCTGATGGACTGAAGAGAAGGTCATTTTGTTACATCAATTGAAACGAACTTTTTTAGAGTATTGGTTTTCTGCAAACTAGATTTATGGAAATGTCTTTAGCAAGGAAATTAGAGTTTGGTTTTGATTTTTAAGAAACTTGTAGTTGACTGGTTTTGTATAGAAGTAATGGTGCTGTGATAAGACATGATAGAAAAAAAAGAACTGTTCCTTTTTTAAAACAAATATATCCAATGTAGACTATTAATTTTTTTTAGTACAACTCATTTTTTCTAAATGTGGGCAGCAGAACTGAGAATTTTTGAAGCTAAACTGTTTCAATAGCATGACTTCTGTGTTTCTCTAAGAATTATGTAGAGAGTAAGGAGGGTATTCTGATACTCTAATGGTTTTGTTGGGAGACAGGAACGCTGGTTTCTGAGGCTAATTCAGTGTTTAACTTCAACAAAATGTTGATATGATTTGAATTTTATATTGCAGTACCATGTAAAAATATCTATTGGATGTCTAATTTTAAGTGTAAAAAGTTTACATGTTTATGTCATTATAACTCGAGTGTTTTGATAGTAACATTATAATGCCGTTTTACATGCACCAATTTAGTTTCAAGTGCTGTTGTTTGTGTGCTATTCAGCATATACTGTTGATAATTTTTAACTTTCCCAAACGTCTAATAATTTGGGCAAAAATTACTCATGCTAACTGGTAGTATTAGCATATGAGGGTTTTTTAATATTTCAGTATTTTTTCAATTGGTGTTTTGGATTTACTTTTTATATGATTTGTTAGGCATTAGGGAAAAGCTTTGGTATAAATTACATTTCATTCTGTTTACCATGGAAGGAGCCATCAAATTAATATTATGAATACTGGCACAGTTTTAACATTTAATAAATGTAGCTCTTGACTATATTCGACTGTAATAATAATAGCAATATTTTA